CATTTCCATGAGCCCTTTCTGCGTTCTATTCTGTTCCCACCCACATTGTTCTAAAGCCTCCCAGACAGCACTTTGGAAGAATTTTACTGTGAAGAAAAGCAGAGAGCCCTGGCCAGTTTTGCTCAGTGGTTAGAGCATCGGCCTGCGGACCCAAGAGTCCCGGGTTCCGTTCCTGCTAAGGGCATGTACCTCGGTTGCAGTTTGTCCCCGGCCCCGGTTGGGGTCCTGTGGGTGTCAGCCAGTTGGTGTGTCTCTCTCACATCGATGTTTCTCTCTCTCTCTTCCTCCTGCTCTATTTGAAGATGAATGCAAAAATGTCCTTGGGTGAGGATAAAAAGAAAAGAAAAGCAGAGAGGTGGGCAGTGCCTGCAGGGGGCTGTGTGGTCAAAAAGTTTTTGTTTGTGTTTAATATGAGACAAATTGCATAAATTAAGTGGAGTGTCTCTGGTGGAGAAGAAAACCAGAAGCGAGGATTCAGGGTGAAGTGGAAAAAATCATTAATCAATTAGGGTTCCATGGTCAAAGATGAAGTGTGCCATGAATTGAGAGACATAGAACTATCTCTGCTGGGGGCAACACCATCACCCTCTTCTCTCCTTCTCTTCCTTATCACGCAGAGCAAAATGCCCAATTTGCAGATTCTTCCATTCAGGGTTGTGCATACTCATACCTTAATGTGTTTCTCTCTTTTACTCCCGCGTGCCTCTCAAGGCAAGAACTGGAAAGCTGGAAATCATGAATACATTGGTTGTTACGTTTCTCTGAGATCAATTAAGGCATTGCAGCATTCTTCTAAGAGCACCAGGGGGCCCAGGTAAAATCCATTCAAAAGATTGAACAGAGGGTTTCAAATCACTAGAGACTTGAAGGTCAGTCTGTTTTCTACCTGCTTCTCCCAAACGTGGGCAGACAGTCCGAGTCTGGGACAGCATCTGCTAAACCACAACAGTCTGCTTCTTTGCCAGGGAATGGGTGTCCTGGGACAAAGGGCTACAGAGCTGAGACAATGACCCTGCTGTGTGCCCCCAGCCAGAGGGCCTGAGACGGCGATTCCTGGAGACATTTTTGTTGGGTTACTGCACACCCACAAATAGCTGCTTTAAAAAGAAAAAGAACAAAACTTGACAATCAGAGGGTTATTTAGAAAAGGCATTTTAAAACTAACAGATACAGAGATGCGCCTGTTCCTTCTTGCAATAGACTCTGTTCTCCCAGCCTCCAGTCTCTCCCACACCAGTCCATTCTGCACATTGTAGCAGGATTATCCTCCTCAAAGCACAGATTTCATCTTGTCAGTTCAATGCTCAAGTACCTTCAGTGGCTCCCCATTGCCTTTAAAATAGCCAAGCATTGAAGAGCCTTCCACTGGAACCTCTCTTCTCTTCCCAGCCCATCTCCCACTGCTCCCTTGGACATCTGCTGAACCGAATCCCTCTCCAGCGGGGCTCTCGTCTGTATCTCTCTTCCTCTACTCCCCCTCTTTCCCAGCTCACTTCTCCCCAATCTTTACCACTCTTAGTTTGGACGTTATGTCTTCTGGGGGCCACCAGTGTCTGGGCTGAGCCGGGTGCCCCAGCAAGAGGGTTACACGATACTCTGAACTTCCTATTTCACTATTTCAGAAATTATAGTTGTTTAATTGTTTGTCTTTGCTGCTAGCCAACAAATTCTGTGAGATCAGGAAGAAGACAAAGATGCCTGTTCCTACCACTTCTATTCAAAATAGTATGAGTAATTAGGCAAATTGTTAGGAAGAACTAAAATTATCTCTATTTATAGATGACATGATGTAGAAACCCTAAAGATTTCATAGGCCCTGGTTGGGTAGCTCAGTTGATTAGAGTATCATCCAGATAGGCCAAGGTTGGGGGTTCGATCTCCGGTTAGAGCACATACAAGAAGCAGCCAATAAATGCATAAATCGGTGGAGCAACAGATTGATGCTTACCTCTCTCTCCCTCTCTCTCTCTCTCTCTCTCTCTCTCCCCCCCTCAAGTCAATGGATTAAAAAAAAAGATTTTACAGAAGAAAAACTTAGAACTAGTAAACAATTCAGCAAAGTTGTAGGATACAAAATCAATATGTAAAAACCACTAGCAAGAAATGAATAGAAAAACAATAAATAAATAAAAAGAAAACAAAAAAGTAAAATCACTAGCAATGAACAACCTAAAAAGGAAATTAAGAAAACAATTCTATTTATAATAGTTTCAAAAAAGAATAAAATAGCCCTGGCTGGTTTGACTCAGCGGTTAGAGTGTTGGCCTGCGGTCCAGAGAGACCCGGGTTCGGTTCCCGCTAAGGGCACGTACCTCAGTTGCAGTTTGTCCCTGGCCCTGGTTGGGTTGTGTGGGTGGCAACCACTCGATGTGTTCCTTTCACATCGATGTTTCTCTCTCTCTCTCCCTCCCACTCTATCTGAATAAAAAATGGAAAAATGTCCTCGGATGAAGATAAAAAAATATATAAATAAATTTTTTAAAAATTTTTGAAATCGGGCCCACAACCCGGACATGTGACCTGACCGAGAACTGAACTGGCACTGTCGACTAAGGCTGAATTTACATATATGGCTGGCACACAGTAGGAGCTCAGTCAATGGTAAACGCCATTATTGGTGATTTGGGTTCCGTTCTAATGTCTATACTCCCATGGGTCCCCAAACCTTGGCGCCTCAGCACCTTTGGTGGTTAACAGCAGGTCTTCAAATGGTATTGCTTTTGTATATTTAATCAAGTTAATAAAATTTCCAAACTCACAGACAGGCCTGTTGCTGGCAACCCACCTGTTGCATCATTCTGTCCAAGTGAGAATGCAGTGTTGGAAAAGGCTCAGGCCTGCCCTCAGGACCCTTTTACATGGTCAGGAGAAGGACGTTTCTAGAAAGGTCTGTTCTAGCTCTAAAATTGATTGAGATCAACTCAACAAACATTTGATTTGTAACTTTTTATTTTTAGACATTTTCCTTTAAGCATTTAATATCTTTTATTGATTCAACAGCCAAATAAGGCAGCGTCTGCTCAGTTAGGAACATCACCTGTCAGAAACAAAATACACAAATGTATTGCAAGATCCCTGTCACAGGAGACCAGCTTATAGACTCCTTGAGAGCAGGGACTGTGACTCAGTGTGTTTAGTAGCACCTCAACTTGCACATAGGAGCCCATAAAGGACTTTTATCAGTTAAAACAAAACACTAAAATCCTTTTTTTTTTTACCTCCCCCGGCCCCTCTACCTTTCCTTCTTTCTTCCATTTCCAAGCTTTCATTTAGCTAAAGAACATATACTAGAAGATAATTCCTCTAGTATTTCCAGGACCAGTCTACTGTGGGCAGAAGAGTGTGGTTTTAGGGCTGGAACATTCCATATATATATTTAAAGCAGAATACATTTAGGAGACATCTCTATTTGGAGCTTGAGTCCTTAAAGAAATGGCTTTGCCCTGGTTCCACCCCTTGCTCCTTGAGCCTAAGTGTGTGTGTGTGGGGGGGGGGGGGGGGGATGAAGCAAGAATCCTTAGAGCTTGGGTGGGTTTAGAAAGGGCCCCTCTCGCTACAATCATGGAAGCTCAAACCACTTTCGGTTTGGAAGCTAGACCCCTGACCTCCACTCAGACACATGGGCAAGTCTGTCCTCTGGTTCAACCCACAGATGAATCCATTGTTCTTTGAGCCAGGATGGTGGAGAAGAGTGTGGTACAACAAAAAGACAGACTTTGGAGTCAGAGACCTGGTTTTAAATCTCTGCAGCTTACTAACTATGTAACTTTGGACAAGTACTTTTTCTCTCTGAGTTTGAGATTCTCATCTGCAAATGGAAAAGAATACGCCCCAAGGTTATTGGGAAAAAGAAATCCTATAAGAGAGCTTATGTGAAAGCACTTTGCAACGTGCCTGGTACCTGGTGGACATTTACACACAGTATGGAGAAAAGATGTCTGGAGAGGAAGAATTTGCCAGTATTTCTCCAGGCATATTCAAGTAAGCATTTTTACAGTGAGATGACATGAGCTGTGTGACCCAGGCATCAGTCCCCTGACCTCCCTGATCCCCAGTTTCTCCTCAAAATGGATTCTAACCCAAAGAGGGAAAGATTCCTAGATTTTAAGGTTAAATGTCAGAGTGGGTCACTTTTTGTAACAGAATAAGGTTTGATTACCTTGTTTGCAAGATGCCTTCAATTGTGAGATACACAATTGCTTTTAAAAACAGCCTTTTGAGAAAGAGAGGGAGAGGGAGCTACATTAATGGACCCACCAATTTTAAGACGCATTCTGATTTCAGAATCATTAAAATGTAAAAAAAAGTTTTGCAGTTGAAGAAATATCAGAATAGCAACGCTGGCTCCCATTTGTGAGGCGCTCGCTGGGGCCAGACGCGATCCGAGCTGCTTCACCCAGAGCCCCACTTGCTACCGGAAGCCAGTGAGGCAGCAAACCAAACACGGAGAGGTCGAGTCCCTTTTCCAAGGCCACACAACCAGGAAGTAGGGCGGGGAAGGCAGGTCTTCTTAATTCCAAAATGCTTTCCCCTCTCAGTAGATTGTACTCCAGAGGAGTCAAAGAGATCAGCTCTCCATAGAGAAATGATTTGTGAATGAGATACTTTGAATGTGTCCTGAATCTTTTCGAGGTAAAAAAAAAAAATCTCTTCGAGGTGACTGGGAAGGGCAGAGATAACATAAATAGAGTTGTAATCTAATCAGTCTCCAAATACTGGTCCTGGGAGAGGACGTGTTAACCGGAGAGTGAGGATTGCTCAGAGTCCAGATCGAGGGGAGCCAAGAAACGAGACTGCGCCAGGGTTAATCTGCCCCAAGCAGAAGGAGGGGCCCTGACCAGCCACCAGGCTGTTCCAGGCCCATGGACACTACAACAAGCTTTTGTCCTACAGGCCATTGTTCCTCAAGGTCACTTTATTCCTTCTAATCTGACTTTTTTTTTTTGGTACATACCTCTAGCGGGAACCAAACCCAGGACTCTCTGGTCCGCAGGCCAACCCTCCAACGGCTGAGCCAAACCAGCCAGGGCTCTAATCTGACTCTTTACTAATGAATTAGAAACCTCTGGAGAAGAATTCAGTTTTCTCCTCAACCCTTTTTAAAGAGGGAGAAACATGCTGACTAATCACTCGATCTGAGCTAGCTAGCAGCCATCTAGTACTGGAATAAGTTACAAATTAATGAGCTGTGTTTTTTGGTTAGTTAGTCCAGTTAGTCCCCTGATTATGGCATTGAATAGTTGCTTGGCAAAGCTGTGGATATGGCCCTTACTCTGACTTCTTGACCCAGTTGTGATACTCTCAGGAGCATGCCCTGACCCCCTGACACCTGACCCCTGACCCCTGACCAGAAAACTCCTGGGCTATCTGTCTTCTGTCTGTCTGTCCAGCTATCATGTTGGGGGGAGAGAGCCAAACCCACATCATTGGATTCCCAACATAGCTCTACTTCCTCGGATGACAAAAGAGTGTTCCACAGCTTTTCGGTAAGGTGGCAGATGTAGTGGAGGTGAGATGGGGCAGGGCAGGGCCGGGTGGGGGTGGGGATTGCCTGAAGCACGAGATGCCCCCGTCGATCTGAGTGATCTGACCGGAAGGAAGTCCTAGTGAAGCTGCCAGAGGAGAAATGTGCTTCTTGGTCTTGATTGGAGAAGGCTCTTCAGACAGTGGCCAAGATAGCACCCGGGTGGGGGTCACCGAGTCTCCACGTGGATGTCAACAGGGCTGAAGGTTACAGTCGCAGGGTGTTGGCTGCTGCTGCTGTTCGGGCCCTGGACAGAAGGGGAGGCTGGCTTGGGGCCCTTGGGCTCCAGCTCCCGCCTTGCCCTCATTTTCCTGCAATGAGATAACCAGGCATAGTTGAGTCTCTCCCCTCGTATACCCTCGGAAATGGGTTCTGAACTACGGCTCAGGCAGAGGATGATGCAGATCATCATTAAACCATGTTGTTTAGTTGCCAGCCACGGAATTTCACAACTGGAAGGGACCTTAGACATCAGCTAATTTGATCCTTTGATTTTTTTGTTGTTTGTTTAATCTAGATTACATATTTAATTTTTTCCTTTTAATGAATAACTAAAGTGTCAGATAGATATTCTATTTTTGATAGTGTGAGTTAATTTTGCAGGCTCATTATACTTGCTAAGTTTATTGCTAGAAATATTTGGTAACTTTTAACATAATTGAGAAGAGAATATACTTAAAATGTATATCCTGTCTTTCATTTCATATGCCATAAAATTCAATAATTAACAACAGTCATTCATTCTACTGTCTACATAATATTTCATCAGTTGATGAGAGTATCATCCCAGTACGCCAAGGTTGTGGGTTCAGTCCCTGGTCAGGGCACACACAAGAAGCAACCAATGAATGTACAAATTAGCGGAACAACAAATCGATGTTTCTCTCTTTCTCTCTCTTTCTCTTCCTTCCTCTCTCTCTGTAAAAATCAATAAATAAAAATTAAAAACATTTTTCAAATCCTCAGAAAAGTTGCATGAATAGTATAATTAATATCTAAAAAGCTTTCACCAATTCACTGGTTGTCAACAATTTGCCACATTTGCTTTCTCTCCCTTTCTCTCTCCCTCCTTATTTATACACAAATACATACACACAGAATTGTTTTTTCAGTCATGAACCATTGGGGAGTTAGTTGCAGACATCATGCCACTTTGCCCCTTGACAGTACAAAGAACAATGGCTTTCTCCAATGTAACCCTAACACAATTATTACGCTTTGAGACCCTTCCATCTGAAAGACAATAAAATCGGCACTGAGAGGTTAAATGGCCTGCCTGGTTTTGATGGACAGAGGTGAGTGGAGTCTCCATCCACATTACAAGCTAGAAAAGAGGCTCAGAGCTCCAGCAATGATGGAGAGAAAGGAAGGGTAGGCATGGGGGCTTGATGCTGCTTCCTGGTTTGGGCAGACTCAGACTGTAACATCCCAAAGATTAAAAAAAAAATAGCCCTGGCCGGTTTGGCTCAGCGGTTAGAGCGTCGGCCTGCGGTCCGGAGAGACCCGGGTTCGGTCCCCGCTAAGGGCACGTACTTCGGTTGCAGTTTGTCCCCGGCCCTGGTTGGTCGTGCGGGTGGCAGCCACTCGATGTGTCCCTTCACGTCGATATTTCTCTCACTCTCTCTCTCTTCCTCTCTCTCCCTCCCACTCTATCTGTACAAAAAATGGAAAAATATCCTCGGGTGAGGATAAAAAATAAAATAAAATAACTTACTAAATATTATTATTATTATTACATGTAGTGCTGGGATTATTTTCTTTGAATTAGATGGACTGAGTTTGCTCCAACTCTGGCAATTAGGGTTGAGTGCCCATTCCTGGGCCTGTTTCATGTCTAAAAAATTAGGGATAAACTTCATCTATCTCTGTGATTTTCCAAATACATGTTCACTAATAAAAAATAAAATAAGCCCTGGCTGGTTTGGCTCAGTGGTAGAGCGTCGGCCTGCAGTCCAGAGAGACCCGGGTTCGGTTCCCTCTAGGGGCACGTACCTCGGTTGCAGTTTGTCCCTGGCATTGGTTGGTCGTGTGGGTGGCAACCACTCGATGTGTCCCTTTCACGTCGATGTTTCTCTCTCTCTCTCTCTCTCTCTCTCTCTCTCTCTCTCTCTCTCTCCCCCTCCCACTCTATCTGAACAAAAAATGGAAAAATGTCCTCGGGTGAGGATAAAAAAATAAAATATAATAAAATAAAATAAAATAAAAAATTAGGGGTAACAATATTCCCACCTTGGGGGTTATTGTGAGGTACAAATGAGTTAATACATGTAAGGAGCTTAGAACCATGCCTGGCACCTAGTAAGAAATGAATATATGTCATCTACCATTATAAATAATATTCATTTTATTATGAAAAAAATGTATGTTTACTATTCCTCAAAAATAAGGAAGCACAGACCCTTTCCCTCCAAAAACCAACAACCAATAACTACAATCCCATCAGACACACTGCTCGTTAACACCTTGTCGTGTCTCATTCGAACCCTCCTTGGGTGCGAGTGTGTGTAACCCAGGCATATGATCATACTGTACATACTGTTGCTTAAAACTTTGACAATATTGTAAACAGCTTTCTTTACCAATAAACACACTTCTACAATATCTTTTAAAAAATGGCTTCTACGTCTCGCATGCAGTGGTGGTACTCACAGTCTTTTAATTTTGATTTCGTCCCTGAAAAGAATAACCTTCTAGCAAAGTTGTGACTAGAGGTGATAACACAGATTTTATTCTTCATACCGTCGAGTTAGATGATTTTATTTCCTTTGGCCCCAGCAAGTGCAGTCACGTGTACATGCATTCCAGTATTTGTTACCCCGAATATTCACGTGGCCCATTGAATATTCCGCAGCAGGGGAATCCCCAAGAAGGGGATTGAAGCAGTCCTCTATTATCTGTGTGTGTGTACAGGTGTTTGCCACAGTGCTCAAGGCCTTTATCATTGTCATTGTCATTATTATATTTAATAACTGTTTCTCCCAGGTGGTCACTATTACGTCTCTAGAGTAAAAAAGATATCCAAAAAAGGACCCACAAAGGGCTAGAGCATTTGATGATGGACTCATGGATATGCTGGGCACAACATGGGCATCCACCAGTGTGAACTCCCATTCACTCTGGCATCACTGAAGGGACCAGGTGGCTTCAAAGCCCGGGACAGCCATACCTGTTGTACATCTTCAGCAAGATCAGAACCACGGTGAAGATGATGATGACAACCACCACAATGGCAGCAACGATAGCTCCAGAACCTACAAGGAGGAGAGGAATGGAGATGGCAAATGTGTGAACTGAAATGCAGAGAAGCATTCGGAGACCGGGTGGGGGACCCCTACTGTGGCACCTGACATCCCCACTGGGTCAAGGGAAGGAAGAGAGAATGCTGCAACTCACTGCTGACCCCAGGACAGAGTCTTTTGTGTAATAGGCAAGCAAAATACCCTTCCCTCTTTTTAAAAAATGATTATTTATTTTTAAATTTATTTATTTATTTTTTAGAATTTAATTTAATTTAAAATTTTTTATACTATCTATTGGGGTGTCATTGGTTAATAATATTATATAGGTTTCAGGGGTACAGTTCTTTTTTTGTGTGTGGTACGTGCCCCTAGCGTGAACTGAACCCGAGACTCTCTGGTTGGCAGGCAGATGCTCAACCGCTGAGCCAAACTGGCCAGGGCAGGGGTATAGTTCTATAATACATCATCTGTATATTGTATTGTGTGTTCACCACCCCAAGTCAAATTCCTACCCTCTTTATTTTCCTTCCCTCTTTTTTTTTTTTTTAAATCCTCACCCAAGGACATTTTGCATTTATCTTCAGACAGAACGGGAGGGAGAGAGGGAGAGAAACATCGATGTGAGAGAGACACATAGAGTGGTCGCCACCCACACAACCTCAACCAGGGCCGGAGACAAACTACAACCGAGGTACGCGCCCTTAGCGGGAACCGAACCTGGGACTCTCTGGTCCGTAGGCCGATGCTCTAACCGCTGAGCCAAACCGGCCAGGGCTTCCTTCCCTCTTTTTGATAATACAAAAGTAATATGTAATTTTTATCGATGATTTTGAAAATATAAATACAAAGCAAATAAAGGGTGAGAGAGGATAAAGACATCATTGTCCCAAGAACCACTGATTATCTATGAATGTGATCATGTATATGTATATTAAATATCAATCTTTAATTTATTAATCTATGTCTGAAAATCTATCTTAAGGAAATATTCATAAATATGGAAAATATGCACTTAATAAAAATAAAAAATAAAAATCATGTTCAATACAACATAACAATATCCAGATCTTTTTTTTTTTCCCTGATCATCTTTCTATGTAATTACATATTGTTTTTCATGACTTTTTAGGTATAGTACTTAAAAAATTTAATTAAAATCAACATCCTTGTCAGAATTGATATTGAAGAGATACAAAATTATAAAAAGGTTCATTTTTTTAAAAATATTTTTTCTTTATTGATTTTTTTTTCAATCCTCTCCCGAGGACATTTTTTGATACTTTGTTCAGATAGAGTGGGAGGGACAGAGAGAGAGAGAGAAACATGGATGTGAAAGGGACACAGCAAGTGGCTGCCACCCACACAACCCAACCAGGGCCAGGGACAAACTGCAACCAAGGTACATGCCCTTAGCGGGAACCAAACCCGGGTCTCTCCTGACCGCAGGCCGACACTCTAACTGCTGAGCCACACGGGCCAGGGCTCTTTATTGATTTTTATAAGAAGAGGGAGAGAGAGATAGAGACATCGATGAGAGAGAACATCGATTGGCCATCTCCTGCATGCCCCCCACTGGGGACTGGGCTCACAACTTGGGCATGTGCCCTGACTGGGAATCGAACCGATGACTTCTTGGTGCATGGGTCGATGCTCAACCACTGAGCCACATTGGCTGGGCTATTTTGTTATTATTTTTTAAAAAATTTTCCCTTTATTGATTTTAGAGAGAAAGGAAGGAGGGGAAAATCAGTAAACAAACAAAAAACACAAAAAGGAAAATATGTGCAGCCCTGGCCAGTTTTCTCAGTGGTTAGAGCATCAGCCTGAGGACCAGAGAGACCCAGGCTCAGTTCCCTCTAAGGGCACGTACCTCGGTTGCAGTTTGTCCCCACCCCGACTGGGGTCGTGTGGGTGGCAACCACTTGATGTGTCTCTCTCACATCGATGTTTCTCTCTCTCTCTCTTCCTTCTGCTCTGTCTGAAGATAAATGCAAAATAAATAAATTAATAATAATCAAAAAAGAAAATATGTGCAGACAAACATAATGTTGAGCAAAAGAAGCTAAATACAAAAGAATAATGCATGGTATGATTATAAAGTTCGAAACCAGGTAAAACTAATCTCTGATGGTAGAAGTCTGAATAGTGGGTTTCCTTGAGTAGCTGGGGGATCATGACTGCAAGGGGCACCAGGACTTCTGGGATACTGGTGGTGGTCTATTTCTTGACCTGGGGGTGGTTGCACGTGTGTTTACTTTGCGAAAATTCATCCAGCTGTGCATTTATGATTTGTGTAGTTTCTGAATGTATGTAATGCTTTTATAAAAGGTTTAATTATAAAAACACAACTATGTGCACTGTTCATTGGAAGAAAGATTGGAAGAAAAAAAGGATCGGGTGGGGAATCCAGTGATGATAGCTCAGTTCAGGGTTTTTCAACCCTGGCTGGATAGTTGGTTGTTGTGGAGGCTGTCCTGTGCATTCTAGGATGTTCTGCAGCGTCCCTGGCCTCATCTCACCCCCACCCAGTGGTGACAACCAAGAATGTCTCCCGACATGGCCAAATGTCCCCTAAAATTAAGTACAGGTTATCCACTTAAATTAGAATATCTGACAATGAATGATTTTTTAGTATGTCTCAAATATTACATGGCTCATTCTTATACTAAAAAATTATTCTTTATCTTAAAGTCTGAATGAACTGGGTGTCCTGTATTTTTATTTGCTAAATCTGGTAACCCTATCTAGTTGGGCCACATCGCCTAGTTGAGAACCATTACTGCCAGGTAAATAGAAATAGAAGTATTCCCATCTTGCCGACAGTGATTCTATCTGCCCTGTACTTCCGTTCAGAATTGTTTTGAGACATTCTGTAGAGGCCTCTGTAGAGACCTACAGAGCAAAGAGCAGGCTAACACATGGGGTCCTATCCCAAGAGCCCCCTTTCTGGGCTTCCATGGAAGAGAAACATCCTGCCCTTAATCCAGCTTCTTGCCAGCACCAGAGCCTGGGCCTGTTAATCACTGGGGGACATTCCACGTGTCGGGAAGCCTGTTCCATTCACGGAAGTTTGTACCAAGTCACCTGAAATTGACCCAGACTTCCCCTAATACAATCCATTGGTCTTCTGAAGAGTGGCCCTCAAATTTTTCCTCCTGGGGACCCCTTTTCCTGGCAAATGCATCCCCTGGGTTAACTCTTCCCATCTACATTCATTTACTCCTCTGTGAACTGATAGGATGTTTTTGCCTTGCAAAAATTGTATGAAAGTATCTACACTTTAAGGTGACCCATTTAGGGACATCTTACAAAAGATTCAAATTTCCATTGCCCTCTAGACCCCAAAACTCCCTAATGAAAATAATAATAATAATAATAATAATAATAATAACATTCGTTAGCTACCTAGTATACATTGAGCTATTCTAAGCTCTTTACATGGAGTATCTCTTTTAGTCCTTACACCTACCTTATGTGGTAGCTTCATTAATATCCCATCTTATAGATGAGTAATCAGGAATCTGATTTGAAATTTTGTTTCAAATCAGAGCAGTGAGTCTCTTGCTCAAGGTCACCCAGTTGGCAAGCGACAGAACTAAGACGGAGACCCAGGCAGTCTGTCTCCAGAGCCTACGCTCTTGACCTCTACACAAGGAGCTGACTCTGACACTTGTCGCGCCATCCCTCCCCCTGCTACCAAGCCAAGTCGACCTTACTCTTGTACAGAAAGTCTTCTTCTCTGTTGGTCACGTTCAATGAGAAGAAGGTGGTATCCCTCAAAGGGGTGGCTGTGGTCATCTCGATCCTGGAGAGAATGAAGATGAAATTTTGTTTCAGATCAGAGTGAGCATTGTAACCCCTGTACGATGCTTCTTTTGGTCTTTATCTGGATGATTAGAGAATATTCAAGCCTTCAGTTTCTCTTAGCAGCAAGTAAATACAGGGCCCTTTACTATATACTATGGGGAATTAAAAATAACATCTCCAAAGCTGTTTAAATTCATTCAACAATATTAAACTCCTCCTGACTAGATTTCACACAGAATGTCTAAATTGATCTTCTAGAAACTATGTGAGAGAGATTATGATTGCCACTCGACTGATAAAATTAAAGCCCCCAAAATGACACAGAACCTCAAGTTTATCCAGTAGAATTGAACCCAGGACATCTGCCTCCCATGCTAGTGGATTTTTCACCACCTGCAGCAATGCCTGAAATTACGTTCCTGCTCTCAAAAGTTTTATAACCTAAGGAAGTAAAGGGAAAAAAAGCAGATGGAAAAAAATTAACTATGATTACTAAGCAGTTAGTGAAATAAGCCATTGGAGGAGATCCATCAGAATGGACTGGGGTGGTATGGGTTTTTTGCTCTCCCCTTGTTTCAGATGAGGACCCCAAGACTTGGTTATACAAAGCTACCTGTCCATGCGCAGACAGCCTGGAAGCTGGCCCTGCAAACTTCAAAGTCTGCATCCTTCCCATTGCACCACCCTGCCCTGGGACACGTCTTGGGGGGTCCAGGACAAGTCACTACGGAAACATGCACACACACTCAGACACACACTGACCAGTAATGCAGCCTCTAAGGCCACCAGGACACGGGCTCCTCTGCAGGATGACCTCCTGGGTAACTTCCCAAGTTCCAGGTGCAACTTTTTCTGATGGGCCCAGCTACTCTTCTTTCTGGGTGAGCAGTGAACAGTCTCAGCATATCTTGCCTCATCTCACGACTAAGCGCTCTCAATTGCATCTCTGTTCCTGCTACATCAGAGAAGGCGGGAGGGAGGGTGGGGATCATCGATGGCCAAGAATGTGGGTGTTTTCATGTGTGGTGCCCCAGGGAGTCTTGTTAACCAAGTGAGGTCCAGCAGGGGGATTTCAGTATCAAACATACCTGTGACCTGGTCCACGGCTATAGAAAAGGGGGAAGTGTACAGGGTGGGTGGTGCTGGTTTTCACTGACCAAAGTTAATTTAATAAAATAATATAATAATAATAATAAATTATGTGCTAGTCACTGCACTCAATGCTTTATGTGGAAGGTCTCATTTACTCCTCACACCTACCTGGCAAGGAGGGTGCAATCACTGTGCCCATTCTACAGATGAGGAAACTGAGGTTCAGAGCAGAGTGAAATCAACATAAGCTCACAAAGCTAATGTGTAGCCATGCTAGGATTTGAGCTGGGTTTGTCTGATTCCACAGTCCCTTCTCCACAAATTCTCCCAGTGAAGCCCTGGCTGGTTTGGCTCAGCGGTTAGAGCGCCGGCCTGCAGACCAGAGAGTCCTGGGTTTGGTTCCCGCTAAGGGCATGTACCTCCGTTGCAGTTTGTCCTCAGCCCTGGTTGGGGTTGTGTGGGTGGCAGCCAGTCGATATGTCTCTCTCACATCGATGTTTCTCTCTCTTCCCCCCTCTCTCCCTCCCGCTCTGAGGATAAATGCAAAAAAATGTCCTCGGGTGAGGATAAAAAAAAAATTCTCCCAGTGAATACACAAGGTACAAATGGCCCAGCACCTAGGGCTCAAATGGGTGTTGGGCTCTGACAGGAAAACCCACACAGGCTGGGGTGTAGCCAGAGTCAGAGCCCTTGCCCCAGGCCGCTGACCCTGGCTGGTCCTACCTCACTGGTCCCTGCCATGGGCAACACTCTGATCTCTGACTTCAGCAGAGCCTTCTTACATTTACAGAATCAACAAGGAACCGTTGTTCCTTGGGTTGTTTACAAATGGCCTTGTGTGGGAGGTCAGTTTGGGAAGTGATGGAGGGTCATGACCACGCACTGAGCCACCCCTCTCTGTTCCTTGGTCAAGTGTGTGAGCCAAATCTGGAGATAAATGTTGCCAAACCCACCTGTCCAAAATATCTCCCCTACTGCTCTGCCCCAGATGTACCCTCCTTTCCTCTGGCTTGGCCTAAAAATTCCTCCCTGGGTAAGATAGAAAGACAGTATCAATCCCAGCCAATCCTACGCAAATGGCTAGCTGTAACTCAGAGTAGGTAACCCATGAATGACCTTGACCCACCAAAACACTGGGATTGATTCCTCCCAATCACCGGAAAGATGGGAGGTTCAGCATGACTTGGTCTCTTCCACAGACAAGAACCTCACTATTCCCAAGCAGCTCCTTGCGTTGTTAGGATGTCCTTTTTTTTTTCTTTTCTTTATTGATATTGGAGAGAGAGAGGAAGGAAGAGGGAGAGAGAGAGACAGAAACAATGCTGAGAGAGAACACCGATTGGCTGCCCCCTGCATGCCCCCCACTGGGGATCAGGCCCACAACCTAGGTATGTGCCCAGACTGGGAATCAAACCGGCGACCTCCCAGTGCATGGGTCGATGCCAAACCACTGAGCCACACCGGCCAGGCAGGATATTTTTATTATCAGAAAATTAACCTTCATGTTGGACCCAAAATTTCTCTTCTTGTGATTTTCACCCATTGGTCCTAATTTTCTTCTCATAAAGGTAATCTGCTACCTCTTGCACATGACAACTGTCAGGTTAAAAGCACTTATATGCATGAAACATTCAACTCAATCTTCCATTGGATGGAGCAGTTAAAGTAGCTGATATCAGCACTTCAAGTTTACCTCCTACCAATAGGTGGTATAGCAGTTGGTTATAGTATGTCCCTTTGCACTTAACCTACAAATGACTGGTAAATGTCCTGTGATCCCAACCCATTTCTAAGTAGAGGGGCTTTCTGCTCTTGAAAACGGCAATTGTGCCCTGGCCGGTTTTGCTCAGTGGTTAGAGCGTCGGCCTGCGGTCCAGAGAGACCCGGGTTCGGTTCCTGCTAGGGGTGTGTACCTTGGTTGCAATTTGTCCCCGGCCCTGGTTGGGCGTGCGGGTGGCAGCCACTCAATGTGTCCCTTTCACGTTGATGCTTCTCTCTCTCTTCCTCTCTCTCCCTCCCACTCTATCTGAACCAAAAATAGAAAAATGTCCTCGGGTGAGGATAAAACAAAAGAAAGAAAGAAAACGGCAATTGTATGTTCTCTGATGAATTTTTTAGCAGGATAAGTAATCTCAGCTCTTTTAAACAATCTTTGGGGTTCCTCACTTTTCTGTATGTCAATGTCTCCCTTAAATACAGCACCACAAACTGAACACATGATTCCAGAGGGGTCCTGAAATGTCCAGAATGACACTTTTCTTTTTTTATCCTCACCCGAGGACATTTTTCTCATTTTTTGTTCAGATAGAGTGGGAGGGAGAGAGAGAGAGAGAAACATCAATGTGAAAGGGACACATTGAGTGGTTGCCTCCCGCACGACCCAACCAAGGCCGGGGACAAACTGCAACGGAGGTACGTGCCCTTAGCGGGAACCTCACTCGGGTCTCTGGACCGCAGGCCGACACTCTAACCGCTGAGAAAAACTGCCCAGGGCAAGAATGACACTTTTCTTGATACTTAGCCCCGAGTTTGAATTCTACTATGTGACCTTGGTCAACTTTCTTCACCTCTTGGGTTTTCTGATCTGTAAAACAGCAATTATAAACTCCAGAGGGTTGTTGTGAAAATTAAATGAGGTAAAACATGTAATATATTTAGCACAGTGGCTGTGCTCAAAACCTATTGATATTACACGGGAGTAATGCAAACAAATAGCTCATTAGCCTTTACAGGTGGCCACAGTACACTGCTCATACACACCCTGTTGATGTGCCCCCAAACCTTTTTCAGACTTTTTTTTTTTTGGTATGTGCCCCTAGTGGGAACCGAACCCGGAACATTCTGGTCCACAGGCCAACGCTCCAACCGCTGAGCTAAACTGGCCAGGGCTTTTCAGACCTTTTTCTTAGGCTTGTTTATGGTCAATCAAAGCCCTAAGATTGCCACGTGAAAGGGCTTTCTAAACTGCCAAATGCTATGGAAATAAAGGGCAATAGCAGTTGCGTTATAAATGGTGACGATATTATGATGAGCTGCTGTCCAATACCTTGGTCTCCATTATGCTCTTGAGCAAATGTCATTTTTTTTTTATCCTCACCCAAGGACATTTTTCCATTTTTTGTTCAGGTAGAGTGGGAGGGAGAGAGAGGAACAGAGAGAGAGAGAGAAACATCGATGTGAAAGGAACACATCGAGTGGCTGCCACCCGCACAACCGACCAGGGCCGGGGACAAACTGCAACCGAGGTACGGGCCCTTAGCGGGAACCGAACCCGGGTCTCTCAGGACCGCAGGCCGACACTCTAACCGCTGAACCAAACCGGCCAGGGCTTTTTTTTTTTTTTTTTTTTTTAATCCTCACCCGAGGACATTTTTCCATGTTTCACTAAGATAGAGCGGGAAGGAGAGAGAGGAAGAGAGAGAAACATCGATGTGAAAGGGACACATCGAGTGGCCGCCACCCACACGACCCAACCAGGGCCGGGGACAAACTGCAGCCAAGGTACATGCCCTTAGCGGGAACCGAACCCGGGTCTCTGTGGACCACAGGCTGACGCTCTAACCGCTGAGCCAAACCGGCCAGGGCGCAAATGTCATTTTGAACTTAAGTGCAGGACTTTGCATTGATTCTTGTTAGCCTTGACTTGGTGGAGGGATTCACTAGAATTCCCTAATGGTTCAGCTTTCTCCTCCATCTCCACTGAGGGCAGAGACAGAGGAAATAGTGAAACCTTCCCCAGGAAGGCAAAAATCCTAATGCGACCGGTACAGGATGGGGGCTGCTGGGTGGGCTTAGGAAGAACAAACCACAGATTCTTGGGGTGAGAATCAGGAGACCAGGGTTGCCTTTCCCACGCACTTTGCATGTGACTTTGGAAGGTTCTCCCCTCTCTAGACCTTGGTTTTCCCATCTGTAAAATGGTCCCATTTGAAGATGATCTCTCAGAACCTTGTCAATCGGTGGTTCTATTGCATGCAACAGTCATTCACAGCTTGACTTTAGAACCAATGTCTTCCAAAAGCTCACCTTTGTAGATACTGACCTGGGGTGTTAGGAGAGGGAAGTCAGCGTGTGCAACTCATGCTGGACGCCAAGACTGCTTCCTGGAAGCCAGCTAGGACTGGACCAAACTGAGGAGAACTCCACACAGGGGTTCGATATGGCAGCAGCAGTGCATATGGGACGAACCTCCAAACACTCTGTTGGGTCCATAGTAACCCAAATCTTCCTGAATTCTAAATGGCCGCCTCCTACATTCTCCATTCCTGTTGGGTTCCACATCATCTCCCCCACTCCACCTGCCCTGCCTGTGTATGGCTCTGTCCCATTGTGTGTCACAGTCCCCAAAGATGGGATGTAACTTGGCTTAATGCTCCTCTGCACTTGGGGCCACCCACAATTACATACCGCATACATGTTCCTTGTGATTGGTTTTCAGAAATTAGGAAGCACATTTCTGGTTTCAATCGTCCATCCATTCTTTCATCCTCCCATCCCCTCATGCACCCATCCAGCCACCCAGCCACTGCACACAACTAACCTCCCACCTGTTCTTCTGTCCATTTGCCCCGCCATTCATTCAACTAGCCTCTGCCACGTCCATAGCACTGAGAGGCTTCAAAGAAGGGATGTGAGGATCATGTCCCTAAAGCTTAAAGAGGATGAGAAGTTCAATTGTTTCTTTTAAGAATCTTTCCTTCAATCAATAATCATTGGGGATCATCCCCGTTATGTCTAACTCAGCACTGATCACGGAGAGATGTCTGATCAATATTATATTGAATCCTATGGAAACAGCAGTGGCCCAAGGATCTGGAAGTCTGGGTGCTCGGCCCACCATATCTGTGAATTTTTATTGACCCA